ATTTCATTCACAAAATATCCTAACATTGCTGGCCTCGTTTCTAGCTAGCTCCAGTCCAGGCATGAAATTCAGGAAGGGAAGGGTAGGCTCTATCATACTGGTGTTATTCCCAGTGGCTACTAGCACAGTACCTAGACCCAATACTTATATTTGATGGTATTTTTGAGATAAAGGCTTAGTGTTGCTCTTATATAGAACACAGGAAGACTGGAAAGTAAAACTATCACCAGAAACAATGTATTTCTGAAAACATTTTGAGATTTAAAAACCCAATTGATGCCAAATACATCATAAAGACATTAAGTAATGCTGAGAACAATGCAAATAAATAATATAAATGCTCATACTGGAAGGTGACAGGCCAAATTTATATTAAGAAAAAACATGAATGGACTCTAAAAATTTACTATAAAATCTGATGAAATTTTCAACCACAAGATGTTATCTCTGGCTATGTTCTCATTCCCAAAAGTTAAAAAGTAAAATTTGGGGAAAGCAGTCTTTTAGTTAATGGTAAAATATTTTGAGTTTTTTTTTCTTTTGGTAAGATATGCTTAATCTTGGCTGAGCAGAATAAAAATAGAATAATCTACTGGCATAATGTCTTTTTTAAAAAAAGGACACATTTTCTAGTTTCAAATGACTCAAAGCTTTTACAAAATGCAACAAGGCTGTACAAATTGTCCTCCATCAATTGTCAATTAATACCACAGTTTATATAATCCACTGCTGCTATCTATAAAAGCCTGGAAATACACTTGATAAAAAATAAAGAACTAAAACATGCTTGTCTGGATAACATATTTACTTAAAACTGAATTTCCATTGACGGGAAAAGCTATACTGCAGCATCTGGTACAAAAAGAAGAGTGCTAATTCAGCTCCTCTTAAAAAACTGTTAGAACATGTGATTTAGAGGTACTTTTTATTCCAAATATAACTCACTGTATTTAGCACCTCCTGTACTTTCCAGTATATTAGATAATTGCACACCATGTTAAAACAAAATAAAGGAAAACATTCCTGCCACCCACCTTTTCATAAAAATTGAAAACATTAAGCACACATAATATATAAGAGCATCTTGTAAAGGTTACAATGATTAGTCCAAAGAAAGTTGCATTTATTTCTTGATTTAAAAAATTTGAGGACTTAGAGGGCTTTGAAGGAAGGCAGGAAAAGAAGGAAGACTTGTATAATTGTATGGGGTAATAAGGCTTAGTAATGTTCAAATCATGCTCTGAAAGTTGTGTAGGTACCTCAGTGGCTGTGAGCCCTGCCCCACACTAATCAGAGAAGCTCTCTACCTTCTCTATCCCCTGGACCACTGCACTTTAGCAGAAGTTATTTGTTTGTGTATGTAAGTGCATCATGTCATGCAATGCCCACGGAGGCCAGAAGAGGGCATCGAGCCCCTGGAACTGGAGATAATAAGTGTTAGTGGCCACATGGGAGCTGGGAACTTAAACCCGGTCCTCTTCACAAGTAGCCAGTGCTCTGAACCACTGAGCTATCTCTCCAGCCCTTTAGCAAAAGATTTTCTTTCAACAAAGATGTCCACAATCTTAAAATCTGAAAATCACTAAGAAACATTTACTGATTATGGTAATGGTTTGTACCCACAGCAACTCCAAATATACAAATATAAACAGTGAATACAGAAACTTGTTTTTTAAAGTGGTATCAACAGGGGCTGGGTGTGTAGTGCTTGCCTAGCACGTGCAAGATCCTGGGTTCAATCCCAGCACCAGCAAAGAAACAAAAACAGGACAAATAAACAAAAAGAAAGAAAAATGATAGAAGTGTGAGGAATGAGAGGGTAATGGAGATAAGTTTGTTCCAAGTACACTGTAGATGCATGTATGAAATGTCACTATGAGACTCATTATTTTGTACAATAATATATACTAATAAAACATTTAAAGAGGTAAAACATTAAGAAAGAGGGAGACAGACTGATGTCTACAATTGCTTTTCCTTCATGAATGTGTTCTTTTGCTTCTGATCAGCTACGTTGGGCTACTGTTTACAGAAGAGTCATGAAGTTAAGCTTTTCTAACTTCATTTTGGCAGAAAGACAGCAGATGATTCAACAGGGAATTGGCTGTGAACCCAAAGCAAACAGCTTTGGCAGGGGAAGGATATGATCATGCTGAGAGGCGTTATTATTGGGTATGTTTGTTTAAGTGGATGGGAGGGTGTCTACATAACAATACTGGGGTAGAGAGCATACCTATCCTGCTGTGAGAATCTGCACAAGAAATTACAGCCCTTCCCAAGGACACTCCAGATTCTTAACATTTACTTCCTCCCATTTACTTCCTCCAACTCCAGGCCAATTAGTGCTATCAAAAATCAAAGATTGGGGCTGGAGAGGTGGCTCAGTGGTTAAGAGTACCAGCTGTTCTTGCAGAAGACCCGGGTTCAAATCCCAGCACCCACATGGCAGCTAACAACTGTAACTCCAGTTCCAGGGGATCCGACAGCCTCTTCTGTCCTCTGTGGGCACTGCACAATACGGGTGCACTTACCTATATACAGGTGATACACATAAAATTTAAAAAATTAAAAAAAAAAACCCAAAGATTGGCATTTATTATGAAGACACTCCCTAAATAGGTAAATAAATCATGCTGTCTACAACATTAACCATTTAATGTTCTGTTTTCTCTGATGATGAACATTATAAGAACTGAAACCTTTGCTGCCAGTGACTTGATCCATGATGGAGACTGTTAACTTCAATCAGCTTATCCTACCATTAATGGATTGTGAAAGAGAGAAGGCAACATATTATCAAACATAACAAGAACCCTATGCTCTGTTCACACCAGAAACACTTCTACAGCAAATGAAACCACTGGTGATTTTTCTATTTGCAAAATTTTCTGTAATTTGAAACACTGTTTCTTATTTTATAAGATAATGGGATAAAGTCTCTCCACATAAGGCTTATTTTCAAGTCAGGATCAGAACAAAAACATTACTAGCATTTGCATTTTGAAAGCAAATTATGATACTCATTGATAATTCTTTGGTCTTTTCGAGACAGGGTCTCCCTATAGCCCTATAGTTGGCCTGGAACTCTCTAGACCAGGCTGGCTTAAACTCAGAGACTGGCCTGCCCTCTGCCTCTGCCTCCCAAGTGCTGGGATTAAAGGCATGTGCTACCATGCCCAGCAAAAATAATTTTTTCTATTTGGTAAAAAAACAAAAACAAACAAAAACCCACCATCAACAATAATCTGAACTATGTTAAGTGACATTTAATTCCTAGTATTACTGGACACCCTTTTGAAAACTCAGAAATAGAAATGGCAGTTTGTTCTAAACACAGGAAGATGTATAGTGCTAGGTACATACTCTCCAAACTATGTAACTGACCTATTTAATCAAGATAAAATAATCATGATTCTAGTTTCTTCCTCCATCAGTACAGTACAGTGAGTAAAGTATTTTTTTTTAATTTCATTATTTTTATTTTATGTGTATGTGTGTATTGCCTGCATGTAGGTAAGTGCACCTGTGTTCTGCAATGCCTGCAGAGGTCAGAAGAAGCTGTTGGATCCCCTGGGCCTGGAGTTACAAACAGTTGTTAGCTGCCATGTGGATGCTGGGATTCAAACCCAGGTCTTCTGCAAGAACAACCAGTGTTCTTAACTGCTGAGCCACCTCTCTGGCCCCCGTGAGTAAAGTATTTCTATACCAATGATAAATGCCAATAAAATACTGATGCCTGAAAAAAAGTACAGTGACTTGGAGAAATAATCTAGAAGAGACCAGACTTCACTATGCTGTTTTTGGACTTAGAGACAAACTAAAATAAGTTCCAATGTTCTATTTCCCCAAAATAGATAAAATATGAGAACAAGGTATATTTTTTAATAGATAATAATTTTCTTAAAAAGAAAACCATATAAAACATGTACAGGTATAATGGCATAAAACTTTCTGCAAGCTCTCAAAATATCCTGTTCCTCTAAAATTCATATTTAAAACAGACAAAGAAAGGCTAAGGATATAGCTCAGGGACAGAACATTTGTCTACATGCATAAGAGCCTGAGTTCAATCCCCAGCACCAGGAAAAGAAAAGCACATAAAGTAGACAAAGGAGTTAGATGCCTCAACCCTTTTCAGAATAAGACATAAATACAACTTAACATTTAGAATAGATTTTGAAATTTTATCCCATCAACAAAATATCAAATTTTCATCTGACTATGTTTCCTATTAAAAGAATTTTATTTACATTTATATCATTAAAATCACTATCAAATATACAACATAGGAAAGAGCAATTATATTTATATTGGTTTTATATGTGACATTTTTTATTATAAAACCCATCTCTTTAAAGATCCACATTTGTGTATTTTTTTTTCTCCTTAAACCAAAACAAAACTGAGGTTATCTATGCCAGAAAGTTTTAAATCCTGAGTTTTCCAAAGTGAATTATTTCTATACTTCTTCCTAAGCATCTAAGAATAGAAGAAATTCATGACCAACTGAAGGCACTTCTCAAATATCAAACAACAGAGTCAAGTTTTTATCTATAAGGAGATCTTGTTTGAAGTTCCTAGTATCAGTAGTGTCTTGAAAAGAAACCATATGCATTTCTTCATGAAAAGCAGTAACAGTGACATGGCTGAAGCCTAGCTATGTGGGAAGCAGAGGCAGAAAGATAACTTGAGGTCAGCCTGAGCAACATAGAGACCTTGTATCTCTGGTGGCTCTTATGTCCTAGCAACAAAAGTATTTGTAGAGCAGGATGAGCCAAGTTTAATAGTTTCAAATGAGGTTTAAGAAATAACCAGACTAAACTCACAGGACTGTCCTTCGAGACTACACATTGATCAACAAAAGTTCATATTTTTGTAGAAAATAACTTAGGGAACTACCTTAAATACGCATGTGATTTAATAGTTGACAAAAAAGGTTTGCTTTAACATATACGTAGCATTTAAATTAAAAAAATACAGGGAAAGTACAGACACCTTACCTGCTTCCTGTGAATTTAACACTTCTAAGGCATGCATCATGGCACTTGCGAAGACATTGGCATCCTCTTTGCTGCCAAAGTTGAGACCATACACCTGTCTAGCATCCCTCCATTGGTGAAAAGTCTGTGTAGCTTGATTGTACTTTAGCCCTTTAGGAATGGCACAATTTATCACGACCTAAAAGACAACAATTCTTATAAAGTCAAGCTAATAACTGGGAAAATGAAGGAAGCCAATACAAATCCTGATTGTAGATAATTATTCAAACTTGTTTCTAAAAGACTGTCAAAACTAGTTAGAAGGAGTCTATAGAAATGAGTCTGATGGAAGTTATAGTTACAAAGGCGTACTTTAAGAGTATGTCAGCAAAGAAAAGAAATCCATATCCCTTATAAAATATATTTTCATGTTTGTTAAAATATTACATATATTAAAATAGAATATGAATCCTAGAAGGCCCCTCTTAACTCCTAGCCTCAAGACACACCCATAAACTAGTTTCATAGAATTTTGGATCTGACAGTTAGGCAATCTCTGTTGAAATATATAAGCCCCCTTTCCTCAAAATTACATTTGAGAATCACCCATTTGTTGTACTGCGTTATGTGGAATTCCCTTGTGCACACTATTTACCCATTCGTCCATTAGCAAACGTACTGCTCACAACTTAAGTGCTACTACAATAACGATATGAACATTCTACTAAACATCTTCTGGTACATATAGCACTTATTTTTGTTGGACAAACACCCAGGAGTGGAATTAGCACAGGTCATGTGCATAAACAATTTTAGCAGAAAACTCCAAGTGGTTTTCTAACTTGGTCCTGTCAATTTATACCTTCATATAAATACATGAAATTTTGTATGACTCCATATATTATGCAGCATCACTGCTGGTAACGTTGGTCTTTATTTTCTAGCAATTCTGGTGGGTATGAATATTTTATCTTTGTGTTTTAGTCTATATTACCCAGGTCACAAATTAGATTTAGTACTTTTTCATATTTTTTAAAATTTCAAAAAATTTATGTGTACGATGTGGGCAGGAGGATGGGCATGCATGCCATGGTGCCTGTGTAGAGGTCGGAGGCACTTTATGTGGGTTCTAGGGATCAAACTAAGGTTACCAGGCTTGCACAGCAAGCATCTTTACCTGCTAAGCCATCTCACAGGCCCCCTTTTTCATATTTTATTTGCCTCAAGATATTTTCTTTTGTGAATTCCCACTTACATTAATAAATATGATTCTCTCCTGAGTAATCTTTTTCTTACATATAATCTCATAAAATATTGTTTTGTGGTAAATATCTTGTCCCATTCCACAACCTGCCTATTTACTCTTAGTGATATCTTAAATAGAAGTTCTTTGTTTTCATTTATTTCAAATTAGCAGTCCTTTTTTCTTTTTATGTTTAATGTTTTTGAGTAGAACTGTTTCTAAATCTTAAGAGTTATAAAAATATTACCCCATTTTCTTATAGAAGTTTTATTATTTTTATCTTTATTGTTATCTTTCACATTTGTATCTTAAATCCAACTGGAATTGATTAATGTCTACGGTGTGAGATGGGCTGAAGTTTCCTATTTGTTTCCTTTGGATGTTCAATGGCTTCACCTCCATTAACAATGATGCACGTTTACCTTTCACAAATTGCGCATCTATGTGTCTCTATTTTGTCTCATTGGTCAAAAAAAAAAAAAAAAACCACTATTATTTGCCAACACTAGTGTCTTAATGATCACAGCTTTATACTCTATCTCATAACTGCTACAGTTTGTCCTGCTCTGTTGCTCAGTATTGCTTTGGTTATTTTTGGTCCTTTCTGTGAAGCTACCATTTATATTTGGATTGTCAATTTTCAATTAAAAACTATTTTATTTTAATTTTACGTGTATGAGTGTACTGCCTGTGGAGGTCAGGTTGGATCCCCTGAAACTGGTTTAATAGACAGTTGTTAGACACCATGTAGGTGCTGAGAATCAAACCCAGGTCCTCTGTAATAGGACCACTGAGCCATCTCTCCAGCCCCACAATTTTCAACTTTTAAGACTGTACTAAAGATAATTCAATTTGATAACTGATACAGCTATCTCCTACTTAATGAGTATCATGTTACTATCACTTAGGCTGTCAATAACACTTGATAAGTTTTCTATATAAGAGTCTTGAACATCTATCATTAAATCTGTCAGGTATTTGATAAAACACTGTTGTTATTTGTTGTGGTTGTATTGAAATGTTCCCCATAGGCTCATATGTTTAAACATTTGGTCCCCAGCTGGTGAGGCTGTCTGGTAAAGTTGTGTAACTTTTAAGAAGCTCTGAGTATCACTGGAGGAAGTGAGTCACTAGGGGGCAGGCCTTAAGGCTCTACAGCTGGGCCTCACTTTCTGCTCACACTTTGCTTCTTCAGTGCAAATGCAATGCTCCTCTGCCAATGCCTTCCCCACAATGTCAGTCTGTATCCCTCTGGAACTACAAGCCAAAATAAACCTTTTCTCCCTTGTTTTTTTTTTTTTTTTTTTAAAATAATTTTTTATTGATTCCAAAAATTCATACAATGTATTCTGATCACATTCAGCCCCTCTCCTCCTTCTCCAGGCCCTTTCCACTATCCCCTATCTCATATCTTCATCTATCTATCTATCTATCTATCTATCTATCTATCTATCTATCTCCGCTATGGTCCACCATGTCTGTCTGTCTGTCTGTCTGTCTGTCTGTCTATCTAGTCAATCATCTATCATTTTTTTTAAAGGCCTATCATTTCTAATCTGTGTCTCTCCCAAGGGCTCCTGGGTATGGGTCCATGCCCTGGAGTCAGGTCAACCTACCAAGTACCACACCAATAAAAAACTGACTCCCTCTCCCAGCATCTATCAGTTGCCAATAGATTTTCAGCTAGGGATGGGGCTTCCTGTCCACTTCTCCTATGCATGCTGGGTCCCTGTCTGGCTTGGTTTTGACAAGTCTTGTGATGCTAGCTTCCAATCTTTAGATAGGTGTGTTTCAATTAGGAAATCCTTAGTGATAAGGAAACTAATAAGGTGCCATGGAGTCACTGAAGGTGAAATAGAATGCAGTGATATAAAATGGAAAAGGGGAGTAATAGACAAGACTGGTTTAATGGGGTGGGGAATGGGAGGGAGGGGCAGAAGAGAGACTAAAAGGAGGAATAACTAAAGGCCTTTCCAAAGAATCATGTGGAAACCTACTATGGGAGCATCTCTCAATGTACACATATACTATATAAAGAGTTTAAAGATAGTTACCCTATAACAGGGTTCAAAGGCCTTAAAAGACTAGCAAATGAAAAACAAAACAACAACAACAACAAAAAAATGCCAAGAATGGATAACTACTTTTGGAATTGTTAAACAGAGAGATTCCATAAATCCCCAAACAATACTGGCTACTGTCACTACACTTGGTTACCCACCAGAACTGGATGGTAGGACCCTACTGCTGAAGACACTACATATTGGAGTATCAGAACAAGGAGAAATCAAGCTGGTACTGATTTTGAAGCTACATCTCTGCTGGTTAGCTTTCATTGTACTAGGAGGTGCTATGCATGTTACTGGCAGAGAAAGGCAATCATCAAGCTTGCCCAGCTGTGAACTGCACAACTACAGTGGCAACTGGCTTGGCAAAATATGCCCAATGGTACAATAGTGGTACTAATATTATGGGAGTAACCAGTCACCTTCTAATTGAATTTAAAGCCTACTTCACAACAGGGAGTCCACACCCATACTGTTATCAGGGCAAGCATGTGCCTAGACAAAGAAAGCTCAGGACATAAGGGAGAACTTACTACTATCATTCTGCTAAATAAACAATATTAAACTGACTCACAATGGCTTGTTATATCCATAGATTAGTATATCCCTCAACTCTCATCAGAAAAGGTTCTTCTCGCAACAGATGGTGATTAGCACAGACACACAAACAGTCTACGTGCAGAAAACAAGAGACCTCAGAGTACTCAGACCTAAATGGGACACCTATATTGCACCTTCCCCTCCAAAGACTTAGAGATCACTGTGGAAGAGGGGGCACAAAGACTGTTAAGAGTCAGCGGTGATAGACGAATACAAGGAAACTGTGTTGTCTGGACACCACAGAGTGGTTACACATATGAACCTTAAATTGATTTTGTTAGCATGCCTTATCACAGCAACAGAAAAGTAACTAAAATACTGTAAAATAAGCCTTCCCCAAGTTGTTTTTGGTCAGTGTTTTTATCAAAGCAATAGAGAAGCCAAGACAAGTATTAACTAAATTCTTCATTTTCTAACTCAGATGAAAACTACTGATTTTTGGATAATGACAATGTACCTTGAGCACTGCCTCAATACACAGCCTAGCTTGGCCTTGAATTCATGAGCCTCATGCCTCCACCTCCTAAGTGTTGTGACCATAGGCCTGTATCGTGATGGCCAGACATGCCAGAACTTACACGCACGCATGCACGCACAACCCCTCATTTCTCATTGTGTATTGGTTCTTTCTATCTGCCCACCCCCATGGCATGTTTTTGTCAAAATTTCAATGCTGGCCCTCTTTTTGAATTCTCTAGGAAAAAAAGCAATACTTCACTGTGTTATTGTATTAAAGGCTTGGTCACCCACATAAACAGAAGTAAAGACATCTGAACCAAAAGTTTAATTCTTTTTAAATTCCTTTCATTGTGGTCTTAATTATTTTAAAAGTAGTAAGATTCCTTTTAAGCACTTTTGCCAAATTATCCTTTCCTAGGAATTTGTGCATTTTACATAAATTTTCAAAATTACTAGCATAACATCATTCTACAATTGCTGTCTGGAGGAGTCAGAGTAGGGTCCTATCTTAGCAGTGGTTAGTGGTGATCTGTGCTCTTTTTTTCTCAAGCTGTGGCCCTCAGAGAATTTAGAGCCCATCCTCTCCTTTCTGAGTCTGTTCTCTGTTATGTCAACGTCTTAGCTTTACGATTATCTCACTCTACTTAATTTGGCTTTAAGTGCCTGTTCTTCAATTCCCTGAGACGAACACCAATGCTGGATTTTTTTTTAAAAGCAATACCGCTGCTTTTCTAATACACACATTCACTCTAAGGTTCATTTGCAGTTTTAGCTGCATTTCATTGGTGTTGATATAACCTGTTCTGTTTGCTGGGTGTGGTGGTGCACACC